GTCAATAAAACGTGCCGTCTGTGTTCTCATATACATTTGCTCATACCCCCTGGACTGTATTCTGCATACAATACTGTACAGCTACCAAAACCCACTGGTAACCATACATACTGTAATCAAACCCCACTGCTCCAAGTACAGAGAATTTTCCTCAAGTGACAGAGGTGGGGAAAAAAAGAAAAAGAATAGAGTGATGAGGAAGAAGAAAAAAACGTACTCCTAGTAGCTTAGAAGTATAACTACACACAAACTTCCTCACTTCACATGGGTGCTTTAAGAACATTAGAATCTTTCATGTAATTAATCCTTAACATGCTGAAGTTGAAGACGCAAAGAAACCGACCTTAAGCCTAACTCCTCCCAGGAGGGCATGTGAAAGTGACTTCTACCGAAACGTGGGAGAGGATGATCATTTATATATGCCCCAAAAAAAGTCATAAGTAGTTAAAGGTAAAGTTCAAAAGTTACATTTGAGTACATTTGAGCTTCAGTACTACTTATGGTATCCCAAATGCTTCAACCAAAAAGAAAATCATTTCCTTACTGTCCCAAACTGATGCCAAAAATCAAAATATAAAGCAGGTCATTGTCAGACGTGTTATCATTTCAGAAGCTGCTTGAGGCTGTTAAGTGTTCTAGCTTTGTCTGTGTGTTTTTTAAAGGAAAACTTCAACTGAGCATTAAAATTAGTACAATTCCAACCAAACCTTATCAGTCTCTAATCTTGGACGTAACTACAGTCCTTGTCATCAGTGACCTGTCTAACCACCTGCTTTTATCCAACCTGACAAACACATAGCCTAAGGAAAATGCTACTGCCATTTAAATGACATTTCTCCCGTCTACCATTTACAGCTAACTGGAAGCACATTAGCAGTCACAACAACAGTAACTTGATCACAGTAACAGTCTACAAGCACTTACAGAGTTTAACATAAAAATATAAATTAAAAATATGTAAGTTGTAACAACAGAACCCTATGAGGCTATCATTTCACATCATGGCTCAAGTAAAGTTTACAACTCACCATCACCAAAAAGGAGTGAAGCTGAGGTTCATCCCTTTTATTCCTCCCTCACTTTAATTCTACCAGCCTTTTATTCTTTCTACTCTCTTCCATTTCTTGAGATTTTATTCAATTTCACATGTGCTACCTCTTGCCCCTGCTGACACAAACCGGTAGGGTAATACAAGCAGTAATACTTTTAGAGCATTGTAAAATTTTGAGCACTGAAGCAATGTTCCAGCAGGCTCAGCCCCCAGTCCAGGAATCTTGTGCACTTGTCAAAACAGACTGCCCAAAGCTATCTCCTATAAATGATTAAAATGCAATCTACCTTTTAGTTGTTCAACAAACATCTACGATATACTCAAGGCAAACTTTCAGCTGTGCATGAGAGAACTGAAGTGTACTGAAGTGTACAAACAAGACCTAAATAACAGTGTGGCACAAAAAGCAACAGAGGAAAGCAACAAGTAGTCTTCTGTGATAACTTGCAGTCTTTGATGCTCTGTAAAAATGATTCAGATGCTTTCCTAACCAAAATAACTCACACAAACTGAATTCTCAAACACCAAATTGATGGAAAACCACCGCTATAATTTCAATGGGCTGTTGAAAGAAAAAAAGCTATTTTCAGCATCGGTAAAGACTGAATTGCTAGGAACCTGGGTCCAGTCAACCTATTGGCCATGACCTTCTTGCTCATTCTACTACCCAGCTGCAGTATCTTGAAAAATTCTGCACAAATGGATTCTCTTCACTTGCAGTGTCTCCTTTCTAATTATATCAAGAAATTACATTTAGCAGCAGGATTAAGATGCAGAAGTCATTCGATGCCTTCATCCAAATCAGAATAAGCTGTCCTCTCTCTACAATAAAATGAAATAGTTTGATTCACGATAAAACTTATCTTTGCTTTCAATTGAAAAATGAAAACCAGCATGCACATACAATTTTATCTAGATTAAAAGTATCTTTTTTTTCCCCTATTTTAAGCAAAGATCCTGAGAACATATATTTCAAGAGACACACAAAACTCAGGCCTGATGACAAGGAAGATCATTTTCAAATCTGAATTTTAGTTCTCAGCAATGCTAAGAAACTCCAGGTTTCAGAAACTTCTCACAGAAACACTAAAAATGAACTAACTCAATCCAGTAACAGTTTTGTAGAAATAATTTACACAATAATTTACCTTAAATACTTTAGGTTACCTTACATATCATATACTAAATGTAGAGTTTATTCTTTAAACATATTGTAAGAGTTTTTAAAAATCATAATGTTATGCATGTTCAAGCACAAATGATGGCCTATTATACTGATATCATCTTTAATTTGAATACTTCAAATATTTCATAGTCTCCCATTTACTAGCTAGTCTAGGATATCTTTATATCTGGCAAACCTCCCCAGAGCAAATATTTACATATTACAATAAATCCTTTCCCATGTATTTCGCTCCATTAGCGATAGAGCCATCAATCACAGTACATAAGAAGCCCTATCACTAAACTGAAAATGTTATCATTAAATTTCATTTCCATTTTGTTTTCAGAAAGTTCTTGCTCTTTGATTAAAATTCTCTTTCATCATGAGATCAGAACTACCATCTTTTCATTACAGTCAGTTGCAAAAAGTATAATATCTTTTCTTCCCATCATTAACATCTCTGTTCTTTCCAATGAGTTGCTAAAAGAGATCTTTTGCAATAATGCCTTCAAAGCAAATCTTAACTGCTGTTTAAATACTATCCTTGATTGGCATTAAAGACTTCTTGATTCTATAAAGCAATAGTTTTCAATCCATGATTCACAAATCTGCAAAGCCACTGCAAAAAGATTTAAGAATATACATCTTGCTGTCTTATGCATATAAGCAAACATGAAAAGAAATGTTAAATATGGAATTCTAAGCGTTCAGCTTCACTTCTGTTGATGCTGCAAGTGAAATGTAATAAAGTGAAACTTCATCTTTGAAAAAGATGAAATAAAACCCTTTTCTCTCATTTCATGCGTAACAAAGCAAGAAAGCGTTATAACTTCTGACATAAAAATAGGAACAGGATAGTTTGTGCTCATTTCTCTTTTAAGGCATTTTACAAATATAACACTGAAAAAAAGTATACTGCTCTTACAGCGGTCTTATTTTTTTTCCCCTCTAATGACCACCTACATAACATAGAGATAAAAAACCTGGAATTCCCTATTAATATTTAAGTGTTCCATATACGAAGGCAGAAGGGGGAACAATTTAGCTTGAACTCCCACTAGACTTATGGAGAAAAAGAAAACAAAAACAGAAACATACACACACACCTACTAGTAAAAGGTTGGGGAATGGACTTTCAATGGAAAGATGCTTTGTCATCAAGAGGCATAAGAAAGTAATACCTTTTTAATCTTTTCTACATATTGAAGGCATACTCAACAACATAGTACAAAGCTATACTCCTAGCTACTTGCACTTCTGTAAATATTACATTTTACTGGCAGAAGCCTGAGAGCTGAATCTGCAACAAGAAGCTGGGGAATGAGCAGCAGAAACATCTACACACACATGCATGCCACTTGCACCAACAAATGACATTCCTAATAGTCTCTCAAAGATGCACAAATGCCCAAGAGCTACCATTCATCTAGACAGACTCATTCATGGTAATACACAACTCATATTTTGTCATCAACATGTACTGTTGCAGATCTCTCAAGCAACATATAGTGCAGCAGTCAAATATTTTAAATACTAAAGTTTTCTAAATAAGTAGTGTTTTAAAATACAATTTTTAGCATAAAGATGATCATACTTTTTTTGAATTAAGTTTACTCCGAAATGACTTCTCATTTTCTATTATTAATGTATCTATTATTTATTTCTGTTATTAAACAGAGAGTAAGTCAGACTATGTAAGAGGTTTGCCCACATGTGTGTGCATGTATATGTATGTGTATATAGAGAGAGAGTGTAATTTTTAACTATTGTATATAATATCCATTTATTTAGCTAAGTCATAGTCTTGGTTACATATCTACACATCCAGCAACTCACATCATAATGCACAAACAAGCAAAATCTAACTGACTGATTTTAACATGCATAAAGGTACAACCCTGTGCCAAAAACACAATTGTACAGTAGTACTGTTTTTACCTACAGTGACAACTATGGAGTAAACTACATTCTTGAGCAATCCACACAGATTTTCGTATTGTGATTATTATATTTTAACAATGTTCTCAACAGCTATCTTGAGTATTCCTTGATTACACACGCCTTTTTAATTTTTGTATAACCTCCCAAATGTCAATATTCATGAAATAGTACACTGTACAGCATTTCCAGATCAAACAGTGTTGTTTGCTTTGCGTACTACAGAAAGAAGCCAACACTTTAAAAATGATCAGTAGACTGCAAAAGTTCTAGAGCCAAGTTTATGAATAAAGACATATGTTCACAAAGACTATTTTCAAATTAAGCGAGTAATTTGATGAGAATGGATCTCACAATACATACTTCAGGTTAGAACCAAACACAAACATCACTTTCTTATCACTAATACCTCAGTTAATGCGAATCTTCATTTTTTACTCGATTCATAACACATGCAAAAGGAAGCAAGGTAAGTCTGAACTAAGTGTTATTTGCACCGGTGAACAGCTGAAACATACAAATGCTCTATCTGAAGGACACAGTAACCCATATAAAGTCTTGATTCTACGATACCTCCTGTAAGCTTTTGTAGATATTGTTTCTAAGCTTTTTTTAATTACACATTTTTACACATTACACATTGGTTGACTCAGATAGACTGAGTTCCTCTTGCTGCAGCACAAAATTACTCCACTTGGTTCTCATATCTGTGGCACAACTTATCCTCCAAGTTCAGAAGGAATTCTAATTTTTTTTTTTAAGCCACAAGTGCACTTTTTAAATAGAAGTATTAAAACTGACTTAGACACACACCACAACACAGAACATAAGATGTAACATACTTACAGCTTCAAATGATAAGTTAACATGTTCCAGGAATTTCTGCCTTAAACCGTCACTCAATTCATTGAACCGATATCGAAAGAGGTCCATTTCTTGCTGAAGAAACCAACGCCTGAGATCCTCACTACAGAATAACAATAATAATAATAATATTACAGGTTATGCATTCTCCCTTCTGTCATAAACTGGATGTAAAGCCTAGTGAACTCAGCATTAAATATACTTCTGACCTTGGCATGGGACTGAGAATCAGAAAAGTTCAGAAAGAAGCATGACTGTGGATCTTTTGGAAGAACAAATATACTCAATCTCAATATTTGAATTGCTCTGTAGGTATCAAGAGTTGGCCCTCTCAAATGTTTTTCACCATTTATAACTTCTTTCAGTTAAGAATAACTAACTGCAGATATTCTTCAACAGTGTTTAGAGGACAACCACTCTTCAATGTGACACAGTATTTTTTCTTGTCAGATTAACTGTGAAGCTAATCGCGCTAAAGCAAACGCATCACAAATACTACTGCTTTTAACTATCACACTTTTGGGGGATGTCTGTAGGTATAAAGGAACACGCACACATACTGAGATGCTATGACAGAGAAGTGCTCTATGCTAGGCAAGAATTAACCTGGAGGGAGGCGAGGATAAAATACATGGGGATGAACTCAGCTGAGTAACACAAGCAAATTATTCAACACTTGACAAGACAGCAAATTGGGTTTAGCAGCTGCAGGTGAGCGAGTAGAATAAAAGCAAGAGAACAGAAAAGGAGTCAGTAGGTAGCATAAAACAAAAACGATGAAGTCAGTCTCCAAGTATTCATTGTATTACTCTTTGCATACTGGACTGCTAGATTCCTAAGCATCAACACGTTACTCAAAGCTGTCATCAACAGGTATCAAAATGCTAATTACCAAAGTAATACCATATATACAGTATCTTCCACATTTTATGGTTGTAACTTGCTATAATGGGACATTCTTTTAAACAGCCCTCTGAAAGCTATGCTGTGGGTTACTGCCATGACAATTCACAGAACAAAGATTCTGTAGTCTTATACTATTTTCTTTAGAATATTTGAGCTTTCTTCCCCAGAAGGG